ACAAGGATTTCAGTTCTTCCTACGGAAAAAAAAAAAAAAAAAAAAAACTCTAATTCTGCCTCCATACTAAAGATGATGGCAAAGATGGTGTTGTCTGAGTACAGGGCCAAACACGGTCCTCTACTTTCTGGCCAATAGCTAAAACATAGTATCTTCAGACTGCATTATTTACTTCCGAAGGCAATGTACTGACACTGATATTTCGGACTGATGCTGCTGAACATACAAGTGCCACAGCAAAAAATATATACTGGATAGGCTCAGTAGTAAATATATATTTTTACTGGATTCCATACTTGTTAATTGTGTATTATGTAAGAGAAGATACAAATACTGTGGGTAAAGAGTCAACACAAGCTTCTGTTAAGTTGTCCTTGCTTAAAACAATAAAGTGTGTTAGGGTGTAGGTCCTCCCAAACAATTGACACTTTTCTGGGAAAGCTTTATATCAGATGTTGCAACGTGGTTGCAGGGATTGCGCCCATTCAGGCATGAGAATCGGTGAGGCCAGGCCCTGATGTTGGCGATGGGTCCTGGTTCACGGTTCACATTCCTGTTCATCTCAAAGATGTTCAGTGGCCTTCAAGTCTGGCGTTTGTGCACACTAGTCAAGTTCTTCCATAGTGAATCGTTTTTATAGAGATCTCATTTTATGCACAGGGGTGCTGTCATAATAAGGCAAAAATGGGCCCTCCCCAAACTGTTGACACAAAGTTGGAATCACACAATTCTCTAGAATGTGATTTTATGCAGTAGCATGAAGCATTGGTTTGTATTCACTGAAATTAAGGGGCCTAGCCAAAGCTGTTAAAGGTGTCATCTGATGTGATTTCAAGTTTTCCTTTCTCTTTGGAGTGTTACAAGCTGTTCGTGCATATATAAGATCTGTAAAGTTGCAAAGACTAAAGTCTCAAACTGTAGAACGCTTTTCAGAACGATGGGCTTTGTAAAAATCTACTCGTTTCAGAAAGGCGGGGCAGAGAGGAGCAACAGTAATATATGATATGTGGAAAATAAAAACACACAGTTTTGAGTGTATGCACACCAACTGTTCAAAATCCTGCCACACCACAGAGTACCACACACATAATTTTCCACTCAATTACTTGATATTTGTCCCAAATTTATGTTAATGTATGTATTGAGTTGCATAAGAATGCTGTTTGCATTTTAACATTAAATAAAATAGCTGTTTCCCATTGGAAAAAAAAATACTGAGCCTGCCCCTGTCATTGAATCTTACTGGGATAAGAACAGCAATACCATGCAAACATAAACCATTGTAATCTACTTAGAATTAGTAACTTTAACCTGTAATTGTTTTTGAACATATTCCTAGAATATGCTTTTAATAATCATTCACTGATGATTATGAATTTGTACTACTGAAATAACCTTTAGACGTGTTTTAAGATGTTAAAGATGGGCCTCTTTTAGATTATTCCGCATGTCTGTAAGATTACGCAGATGCCTTTCATCTTGTCATCTTTTTTAAGGCAGCTTAGATAACATCCCACAGTCTTATATGCTGTTTGCCCATTAGTTGAAAAGAACCATAATGGCTTTTAACGGAGCACTATGTAAATTAATATATTTGTTTCATTTCTACTTTGAAACTAGCAGTATTTGTTGATTGTATTTAAAATGTAATTGACTTGGTTCTAAAATCAGACATGATGTTATGGTGCCTTGGAAGCCTGTCTGAATCAAGTTTTCTATAGATTTAACTTTGTACAAAAATGCTGTCTGTTCAGTCATTCACTTACTGGGCAGGCAGCTGCCTTTAGTTTCTGACATGAGCGAAAGTAAAACTTAAGTCAGTCATATGCTTTAATTCAAACTCAACCCATCTGACATCACTTGGTGAGTTGAGCTGATATTAAGACACAAAGATATGGAATGTTGTAAAAAAAATAAAAATAAAATAAATTGTATCCTAGAGCAAAGTTTCCCACCCAGTGGGAGGAGGTCTATGTGGATAGCATTGTTTTCAGTTTTCTCATCACTGTGAAAATATATTTTTGGTGTGAATTGGCCTTTAGGGGTTGGGTGAAAAATCTCAATATAGGTGGTTTTGTGATACTATTTCAATACCAATTGTCAAATTCTTTATGGAGCTCATGAAAAAAAGTAGGGATCCCTTTGTTGCATTTGTAAGTTGTTGATGGAAATATCCTGTAGGAAGTGCTTTTAGGGGTTTCACCTAACAAACTCCCTTCAGTCAGCTCAGGAATGTAAATACAGGAGACCACAAGGGTTGCTGAAGCAGAGAATGTTTCCTACGCTCCCCGTCTCTTTGC